ACTACTACTACTACTAGTACTAGTAGTACCACCACCACCACCACCACCACCGCCACCACCACCACCACCACCGCCACTTCCACCACCACCACCACCACCACCACCACCACCACCACCACCAACACAACCACCACCACCGCCACCACGGCGACGACGACGACTACTACGACTACACGTATGGCTGCTATTACTGCTACTAGCATTGCTAAGGTGAGGAGAAGGAGGGTTTCGACCCCCAGAGACTTGGTCGCCATGGAGACTTTCCTGGCTTTTGTTTGGATCGGTTGTGAGTGGTTTAGGGTTTGGGGGGTTTAGGGTTTTTCAAGTTACGCCTGAGCCTTGGATGCGCAAAGCGCATGAGTTTGGAGCATTCAGACACGAGGGCTGAAGCTTCGGCGTCAGGTGGGCATGAGGGCATGCGTCCTCTTAACGGTTTAGGGCTTTGAGTCCTCTCGCTCCTGTCATGGTTTTGTTAATTGTTCGTAGGGAGAGTTCAGGGGTCAGGGATTCGGTCACTTCACCATTCTGAATATGTGATTTGCGTGGCTTGGGTGATGTCCTGCCAAGGCTTGGGGGCTGGAGCTGTGTGTGTCATGATTCGCAGGTACTTCCTTGGAGAGTGGCTGGACAACCTCGGCCACCGGATAGCTTCAAGCCTGCGCTTGATTCTTGCGGTGATAGCCTTGACACTACACCAGTAAAGCAACAGGCAAAGTTGCAACAGTTCCGATTTCTTTTAAGAACGACAGGTTTGATCGGACACTTGTGTTAAAAGCATGTCTTTCTCTTCGGGCATGTTCTGCAGTTCTCCCCTCGAAGCCAGACCTGAAAGCCGACAACCGAAATGTGATCGGGTCACTCAAGACTACCTGCGTGCAGCACGATCACTAGCGGTGTTGGAGCACCCCTGATGTTTGAGAATGCGTGCATGATAGATCAAGCCTTGCTGCCTGTCAGCCGTGTATCATTGTGGCACCGGGACTGGGCGTGGATTTCCGTTTTTGCGTTTGCTTGTCGCACGTGCTTTCTTGGTGGTGCCTTTCTGTATGCCTGTGGTGTCAGTGCCCATGCATGCCTCTGCTATCAGCTGGTGTTTTGTTCGTTCCTCTCTTCAGGTATTCAAGGGCTGTACAAGTCTATAACTTTGTTTATGCGCAAAAGTGCTTGTCAGGTACAGTTGTATGTGTGTGCCTGTTGCAGATTCTGAGTATGACATGTGCTTGGTTGTTTAATGCTGGTTTCCTGTTTCACTGCCGGCTTCTGTTGGAGGGCAGCAAAAGCGAGAAGCAGGTTTCTGTCCCTGTGGACAGATATGATGAGAAGACAGTATCAACAGTCTAGTCCAAGGGTTACCCTAAAGGATGCTCGGGCTCGGGGTGAACAGTGGCATTCCCAAGGCTGGGCCGAAGGAAACCAGGTACGATGTACTTCGGAAGACAGCTACAAGCTTCAGTCCGTCGGAACGGAAGTTATGTATCCTCAAACTATCAATAGCACTAGCAGCTCTTTGGTGTTGGTAGGAGTTGTGGTCGTGGTAGTGGAATTCGTCATTTTTGAGGTGGTGGTCGTCGCCCTGGTACCGGTCCTGATCTTTCCGTGGCAGTGCATGTGGTAGTCGTCGTCGCAGTGGTAGGAGCACTCCTGCAAGACTATATTGTTCACTACTACTACTACTACTACTACTACTACTATACTACTACGACTACGATTACGACTACGACTACGACTATGACTACGACCACCACGCCAGTTCGCACACCAACTATTATTTGTACCATTGCCAGCAGTCAGCAGTGCAAATAGCAGTTGCATGTAGGTGGGAGTGGCAATTCCATTTACTGGTGTGGTATTGGTGGTGATAGATAGCAGTGAACCCTAAAACCCTAGCGAACCCTGAACCTTTTGAGTAGGCCGGGGAACAGGTTGTGAGTCCTGCATCGCAGAAGTTTGTTGGTCGCCGTGGCCGGCGGCAAAATGGCCGCTTCCCGCCAGCATTCATTTCTGGCGCCGGGAAGTAGACGATAGTTGTGTTAGGGTTTAGGGTTGAACTTCCCAGATACACAGGATCAGTGCTTGGGTTCACAGAGGGTTCAGGGTTTATATCGCCAAGAGCCTGGGCTCAAAAAAGGGTAACTTGATGCAGCCGTTTCTTGACGACGTTGTTCTGAGATGTGAAAGGAAGTGTGTGAAGAGTGAAGTGAACTGCTGGCTGTACATGCAGGAGCCATACACGCAGAAGCAGAACCCGGAATAGCTTCAAGACGACTCCTTACAATTCCTGAACTAGAATTTACCACAAAACCCTTTTCTAATTTTGACGCCTCTAAAACAGGTTTAGGAGTCTCTGAAAGGGAATTCGCAGAGTGTGGAATGCTGTCCTTTACGTTTGCGACGCCCAAAACCCCTAAACCCAAAATACTATCTGTGAGATCGTGCAGAGACAAGCCAAGCAAAAGGAGAGGCGGGGAAAGGGCGAGAGAATGACGAGTAAACCCAGCTGCCGTACCCCAAGCCCGGCAACCGGGTTTAGGGTTTAAGGGTTTAACACTAAGTGCATCATAATTAAGACTGAAACAACACCAAGGAAAAGAAGCGGCCACGTGAGCGCAAGTTAACATAGTACAACGCAGCTCACACATCATGAGCAGCTGCTTGTGCCCATGAACTTTTACCACCCATGCTAATGCATCAGATAATCAGACAGTAAAGTGTTCACTGGATGCTTGCCGGTTCCAAAACATACCCCAGCTTTACTGTTCACGTGGGATCGTGCAGATACTGAGGGCAGCCTCAAATGGCTTTCACCGCGAGCCTGCAGAAGATGGGGTTGCCAGCAGCTCCCTCAGTTTGTTTAGGGTTTAGGGTTTAGCTCGGTGGGTTTAGGGTTTAGGGTTTAGGGTTTAGCTCGTTTAGGGTTTAGGGTTTAGCTCGTTGCTACCACGGAGATAGTAATGCCAAGGCTGTTTAGGTTTATTCCATCCGTGATCGCACCCATCCAGTACATAGCCGACCACTAGATAGGTAGAGGTTCACTATTTCGGGCCCAGGGAATTCAGCAACTCAGATCATTAATGAAGGTGCAGCCAGGAAGGTTGCTTTGTTGACTTTCAAGCAAGCAGTAAAAATCTTCCAGCCAAAGAGACAGTCGTGCCGAAACGTCATGTAGAAGACCTGAGATACTTTAACGGAGGAAAGCTTCTTGACGTCAAACATGGGACGTTTGCATGGGGTAAATGCGACGAAGTCACGTCCCAAACTTTATGGATGATCACACCGTATTCTGAAAGACCGCTATTAGGGTTTAGAGTTTAGGGACTCCGAATAACTCCAGCGCCGATGTCATTTAGTTATTCGCCGCCCCTTGTGTGATTGGAAACGGTGCATGGCATGCTAATGCAGCAAGTGTCACCCACAACTCAGTATGTTGAAAAGAAAGGCGAATTTCGTCGCATTGGCGTTATATGCATTAACCGAGTCTGCTGCAGCTCTATCTTTCCAACATAATCCCCACCACTTGTGAGAGTGATCTTTCATTTCGAAGTCGTGAATCCTAGCCCTCAGGAGTGTCAGGAATTGCCTGGAGCCTTTTGCTGTAGGCGTAGGCCTTTGGTTGATTACCAAATTTTTGGTTAAATGTCAGCCAACGAAGGAGCTCAATGGAAACTCTGCATAGATTCTTGATGTCAAGGACCCCCTACTCCCTATTTAGACGCATGTTCCCAATTTGCCAAAGATGACGTCTAGGAGCGACTCCTGTGCCGAATGCCTTCATTCTGGTTGCCCTTACAATAATCCTGGCAGAGCCATCAGCCAAAGCACCCATTTTCGTATAAACCCCAAACCCTATGCCCCCAACTTCTCTCAACAGTCCGAACGAACTCCCTGCGGTGCGACATGGTCAGCTGGGCGGGGGGGAAAAAGCATCGGATACCGCCCCCTAGGACAAGCGATTCACGATATCCCTGGATCGGTGGCAGCAATGGAGATGTGGAGCCTCCGGCAAGAGCTAGCGCGATGGAGAGCACAGAGCGAGAGAGGGGCGGGTTCAGGGCTAGGGCTAGGGGTTTTGGGGGTTTCGGCCTCAAAGGCCCCGAGCACAATCATGGTTCCTTGTGGAGCCCACCCCCCTGTCAGAGTGAGGTGCTTGTCATTCAGTCGGCCAAAGAAGTCATAGTAGTATAGGGGTTTGCAGAAGTATCAATATATTATTGGGCTCCCTACTGAGAGAATACCATACAATGTACCCCAACACCCAGTCATTCCTAGATTGGGCCAGGCGTGGGGTTCTATGCTTTTCAGGCGGTCTTTCTTTGCCGGGTCGTCAGGTCCAATGTCAACCTTGCACCCTGCCTCGTGAGCCCAGCGGCGCCGGAACTCGCAGAGTGTGGCTGAAGCATTCTGTTTCGTAGCCCTGACCCACGTCGCGACTCCCCTGATGCCGCAGACAGAGGCCGGATCGGAAATGGAGACCGAAAGCTTCTTGCGGATCGAGACGCCGCGCAAGTCGCGCTCCCGTTGGTACTTCGCTGGTGCGGCTGCGGCTCTTCTCCTCGTCGCCGGCGTGGTAGCTAAGACGGCACCGGAAACCCTGGGTATCTCCTCCCCGAAGAACATCATCTTCGATACTGAGGTGTCCCACTGGGAGGACATTCCGGGCATTGACAAGGTGATCCGCAAGGCCCAAAGCCTGAGGCTTGACAAGCCACTGCGCAACTTGCAGGATTTGTTCTATGATTCGCAGCCAGAGGAAGTGCCCTTTATTCGCACGGAATGCGTCATTGACGTCGTGCAGGCTGCTGCATACCTCGACCAGGC